AAATTAGCAAAGAGAAAAGAAAAATAAGGTTCAGCAATGGCAATGGTGTGGTGAAAATTCATTCTAATGTTGGCAGTGTGAATTACTACAGTCTTTCTAGGAAGTTGGCAGTATGTAACTAGGGTGTTAAAATATTCAATAATTTCACTTCAAGTGGAATTTCAAGAATTTATACTAAGGGAATAATTACGGTCTCAAGAAAGTTTGGTGTATATAGGACATTCATTATAATACCACAGATTATTTCTAAAAGGGAATAGTTAAATAAATTTTTCCATAGCCAGTTTCTGTAATATTTTCTAGTCATTAAAATGATTTCAAATTAGTATCGGGAAAATTGTTAGGACAAAATAAGGGGAAAAAAATTAGATACAAATTGCTTGAAGTATAAATCCGATTTTGTTTAACTCTCAAGTAAGAAAATAAGGTCTGGGGGCAGTGGCTCATACCTGTAATCCTAGCACTTTGGGATGTTGAGGCGGGTGGATCACTTGAGGTCAGGAGTGCAAGACTGGCCTGGCCAGTATGGTGAAATCCCATCTCTTCTAAAAATACAAAATTTTGCCAGTTATGGTAGCGTACTTGTAATCCCAGCTACTCAGGAGGCTGAGGCAGAGGAGTGACTTGAACCCAGGAAGCAGAGGTTTCAGAGAGCTGAGATCTTCCCACTGCACTCCAGCCTGGGCAACAAAGCAAGACTCTTTCTCAAAAAAAGAAAAAAAACTACATGCAAAAATTCCAGTTACATTACATTTACATAGAAAAAAAGAAAGGAAGACATTTAGCATCAGAATCTTACTGATGATTATCCCTGGGCGATAGATTTAGGGATGACGTTTGGATGATTTTGTGTATTTTTCCAATTTTTATCAATTTGGGAATGTTACTTTACTAATCAGAAAAAACAAATAGCCAGGTGTGATGGCTCATGCTTGTAATCCCAACACTCTGGGAGGCTGAAGTTGGAGGTTTGCGTGGGGCCAGTAGTTCAAGATCAGTCTGGAAAACAATGAGACCCTGTCTCTACAAAAAAAGTAAAAATTAGGCCGGGCGCGGTGGCTCAAGCCTGTAATCCCAGCACTTTGGGAGGCCGAGGCGGGTGGATCACGAGGTCAAGAGATCATCGTCCTGGCCAACATGGTGAAACCCCACCTCTTCTAAAAATAAAAAAAATTAGCTGGGCATGGTGGCAGGTGCCTGTAATCGCAGCTACTCGGAAGGCTGAGGCAGGAGAATCACTTGAACCCAGGAAGCGGAGGTTGCAGTGAGCCAAGATTGCGCCACTGCACTCCAGCCTGGGTAACAGAACAAGATCCTGTCTTAAAAAAAAAAAAAAAAGTAGTAAGAAGTTGGACTTGGTGGCCCATGCCTGTGATCCCAGCACTTTGGGAGGCTGAGGCAGGCAAATCACTTGAGGTCAGGAGTTACCAGCCTGGCCAACATGGTGAAACCCCACCTCTTCTAAAAATAAAAAAAATTAGCTGGGCATGGTGGTGCGTGCCTGAATCCCAGCTACTCAGGAGGCTGAGGCAGGAGAATTGCCTGAACCCAGGAGGCGGAGGTTGCGGTGAGCCAAGATCGCGCCATTGCACTCCAGCCTGGGAAACAGAACAAGATCCTGTCTTAAAAAAAAAAAAAAAAAGTAGTAAGAAGTTGGACTTGGTGGCCCATGCCTGTGATCCCAGCACTTTGGGAGGCTGAGGCAGGCAAATCACTTGAGGTCAGGAGTTACCAGCCTGGCCAACATGGTGAAACCCCACCTCTTCTAAAAATAAAAAAAATTAGCTGGGCATGGTGGCAGGTGCCTGTAATCGCAGCTACTCGGAAGGCTGAGGCAGGAGAATCACTTGAACCCAGGAAGCGGAGGTTGCAGTGAGCCAAGATTGCGCCACTGCACTCCAGCCTGGGCAACAAGAGCAAAATTCCATCTCAAAAAAAAAGAAGAAAAAAGAAAAAACAAATATCAAATACGTTAATATTGCAAAGGCAATTTAACCTCAAATGACATTTTAAGAAGACATCCTGCTTGATTTACTTGTGTGCTCTATAACTGAAACAGAGAGGGAAAATGACAGGAAAACTGTGCGCTCAACTTAATCAACTTTACTATTTTGTTCTACTACAAGTTTAAATAAAATTGAGTATTCTGAAACAAGTTAATTTTGAACTTATGGTAACTTAAAATGTTTTTTCTTGTTTTAGGATGACAAATGGGAAAAGAAATGCCAGAAGATTTTTTCATTTGCCCACCAGACTATCAGTGCTTTGATCAAAGCAGAGCTGGCAGAATTGCCCTTAAGACTTTTTCTTCAAGGAGCACTAGCTGCTGGGGAAATTGGTTTTGAAAATCATGAAACAGTCGCATATGAATTCATGTCCCAGGTGATGATCTGTTCTTTCTGAATGTCACATCAGCTCTGCTGAGCTCAGTTGCTTGTTTGTAGGCATGGCAGTATTGCACATGAATTTACTCCTCTTTCCCCTGAATATGTAACTACCACCTTCCCACCATCTTGGAACCTCTTTAATATTATCGTCAAAGTTGACTAGTGTTGATCATTTGCTAGGTGCTGATAAAATCTGATTTCCAACTGGGTTGTGGTAAAAGTGTTTCATGGAACATGGTTCCTTTGTCAATTCAGTTTGGGAAGCTTGGGTTAAACAAAGTTGAAAGAAGTTTCTTTATTGCAACTTTTTAGCATTTTTACCATCTTAGCTGTGTCCTGTGGTCTCAAGAGAGCGTGCAGCATGTTCTGATATGAAGGCTGCCGAGGTCTCACAGGATGGAGGTTTGGTGAGAAGTACGTTGGAAAATGCTCAACTAGAGAATAGTTGGTCCTTGAAAGTCCTTTCTGCTTTGTGTTCACTAGGCATTTTCTCTGTATGAAGATGAAATCAGTGATTCCAAAGCACAGCTGGCTGCCATCACCTTGATCATTGGCACTTTTGAAAGGATGAAGTGCTTCAGTGAAGAGAATCATGAACCCCTGAGGACTCAGTGTGCCCTTGCTGCATCCAAACTTCTGAAGAAACCTGATCAGGGCCGAGCTGTGAGCACCTGTGCACATCTCTTCTGGTCTGGGAGAAACACAGACAAAAATGGAGAGGAGGTAAGGTGATTCCTAACTGCGTGGTAGCAGACAGAATCAATAACAGGGATCAATTGCCGTGGCCTTGTGCTCTAGAGGTGAAACATATGGGGTGCTTGGAAGTCTGATGAACAAAATTGCTTTGGTTTTGTAAAAAAAGAGTCTCATCCTGTAGTGAAGCCTTTGCTTTGAGGATATTGTAACATTGCAAGTCCAAACCACTACCTTTTTTTAAAAAAATACAGCTGTATACTTCAAAACAGAAGAAGGAGGAGAATGAAAAGGACTTAAATTTGTTGTATCCCTTTAAAACACGAAAGAGTACGGTAGTGTTGTGTTTCTTTGTATGAAAATGGGCTATTTCATTAATCTCTTCACTGTCTTCCTACCCTTTTATTTTAGCTTCATGGAGGCAAGAGGGTAATGGAGTGCCTAAAGAAAGCTCTAAAAATAGCAAATCAGTGCATGGACCCCTCTCTACAAGTACAGCTTTTTATAGAAATTCTGAACAGATATATCTATTTTTATGAAAAGGAAAATGATGCGGTAAGTGCATTAGTAAAGTGTTGTTAATAAACTAATATTTTTCCTTCCTACTCTTAGGAGATTTGATATGTACAAAAGTTTATCATACTGATACTTCAATCACTGTTCATTTGAAAAATATAAAATAGGCTGGGCGGCGGTGGCTCATGCCTGTAATCTCAGCCCTTTGGTAGACTGAGGTGGGTGTATCACAAGGTCAAGACCAGCCTGACCAACATGGTGAAACCCCGTATCTACTAAAAGTACAAAAAATTAGCTGGATGTGGTGGCGCACACCTCTAATCCCAGCTACTCAGGAGGCTGAGGCAGGAGAATCGCTTGAACCCAGGAGGCAGAGGTTGAAGTGAGCAGAGACTGTCATTGCACTCCAGCCTGGGTGACAGAGTAAGACTCAATCTCAAAAAAAAATTTTTTTAAAGAAAAATATAAAATAATTTACAGTTACCAAATAATAGGCTAATTTGTCATAATGTTCTAGTTTAAGATCATTCCTAGACTGGTCGCAGTGGCTCACTTGTAATCACAGCACTTTAGAAGGCCGAGGCAGGTGGATCACCTGAGGTCAGGAGTTTGAGACCAGCCTGGCCAACATGGTGAAACTCCCTCTCTACTAAAAATAGAAAAATTAGCCAGGTGTGGTGGTGGGCGCCTATAATCCCAGCTACTTGGGAGGGTGACCAGGAAAATCGCTTGAACCCAGGAGGCAGAGGTTGCAGTGAACTGAGATTGCACCATTGCACTCCGGCCTGGGCAACAAAAGTGAAACTTCGTCTCAAAAAAAAAAAAAAAAAAAAAAAAAAGATAATTCCTAAATGTAGAATCCTTTTAGCAATGCAGCTTTGGTCAAGATTGGAAAGTTAAATAAAATTTTGCTTTTTTTTTTTTTTTTTTGATGGAGTTTCGCTCTGTCACCCAGGCAGGAATGCAGTTGTGCAATCTCAGCTTATTGCAACCTCTCCCTCCCGGGCTCTCATGCCTCAGCCTTCTGAGTAGCTGGAATTACAGGTGCCTGTCACCACACCCAGCTAATTTTTATATTTTTAGCACAGGTGGGGTTTCACCATGTTGGCCGGCTGGTCTTGAACTCCTGACCTCAAGTGATCTGCCCAAAGTGCTGGGATTACAGGCGTGAGCCACTGTGCTAGGCCAATTTTGCTTGTGTTTAAGAGTTGGTGTTTTTTCTTGTTTTTCTTTTTTTGGATAGTCAGTTGTTCGAACTAGAAATTGTGCTCCCATCTTGCATTTTTCATAATTACTCAAGTAATTGTTGAGAGTAACAGAAACTCTTTAAAACAGTTTCATTAAATTGTCTTTTTTTTTTTTGTGGTACGTGCTTGATCATGAATTTGTATATACTCTTTTGCAGGTAACAATTCAGGTTTTAAACCAGCTTATCCAAAAGATTCGAGAAGACCTCCCAAATCTTGAGTCCAGTGAAGAAACAGAGCAGATTAACAAACATTTTCATAACACACTGGAGCATTTGCGCTTGCGACGGGAATCACCAGAATCTGAGGGGCCGATTTATGAAGGTCTCATCCTTTAAAAAGGAAACAGCTCACCATACTTCTTTCCATGTACATCCAGTGAGGGTTTTATTACGCTAGGTTTCCCTTCCATAGATTGTGCCTTTCAGAAATGCTGAGGTAGGTTTCCTGTTTCTTACCTGTGATGTGTTTTACCCAGCACCTCCGGACACTCACCTTCAGGACCTTAATAAAGTTATTCACTTGGTAAGTGTTCAAGTCTGTCTGATCACCCCAAGTAGCATGACTGATTTAAAATTCCTGTGATCTGTAAAAAAAAAAACAAAAAACACAAAAAACCCCACAAGCACTGATCTTGGCTACTAATGAAGCTCTTCTTCCTTTTTGTTTTCTTTCATTGTTGATAGTGTAATTTCTTCATTACTTGGGAGTACTAACCTAAAAGTGTCTGTCTCTTTTCTTCTCTAGTCCAATTTCAGATTAATTTAGGAGAAAGGAATACTGTATGTGAACTTCATCTTGGGCTTCTCCCTAAATTGCAAGATATGACCATGTGTAAAATTTTCCCTAAAACTAGAATATATTATTGCATGTTTGAGAATTTTAAAGTGTCATGGTCAAAACCAGAAACTATATTTTGCATATTTGGATTCAGCCATCCATTAAGAACTTATGTTGTCCTCTGGGCATATTTATCAAAATAATTTGGTTTTAAATAGTATAAAAGAAAATTTGTGATTTATATAATTTATGTATCTCCTTCATTGTAAATTTAGCAGGGAATGCATCACAATTATGATTTTTTTTTCACCAGTGAAACAATAAAGTTGCCATTAACAATTTTGGAGCTTTATTCCCCTTTCATACTATCTTTATTGATAAAAAGAACTAGTATAATGCCTATGGAGTTTAATAGACATTCACATATTTTCACAGAGCTTACTTAACTCTAGTTTTAGGCACCTGTTGAACAAGGCGGCATCTACTCTCTCAGTCAGTCATACCCCTTTTCTTTCCTCAACTTTACCCTACTTTTATCAAGGCGTGATGAATTCACGTAACGCCCCCCAAAGGTTCACCACCTGTGCTAGTCACCTGCTATGTAATAAGTTATCCCAAAATTTAGTGTGTTAAAACAGCAAACATTTATCTCAGAGGTCTCTGGATCAGGAATTTGGGAGCAGCTTAGCTGGTGGTTCTGGTATAGGGAGTGGTACAAGGTTGCAAGCAAGATACTGGCTGAGGCTGCAGTCATCTGAAGCTTCAACTGGGGCCGACTTCTTTGCTCACTGACCTGGCTGTTAGGCAGAGGCCCCATTTCCTCTCCTTCCACACAGTGTCCTCACAGTATGGTGGCTGGCTTTCCCCCGAGTGTGAAAGCAAGAAGGAAACCCACATTGCCTTTCGGTGGCCTCACCATGGAAGTGACACACTCATTTTTTGCCTTATTCTGTCAGTGGGGAATCACTAAGTCTGGCCTATATTCAAGGGTAAGGAGAATTAAGCTCCACCTCTTGGAGGGAGAATTTATAGACATTTTCAAATGACTATATCACTTAACTCCTCACCATCTGTCCTCCCATTGCTAGCACTTGATGACTAGCCCTTGCTAGGCTTTACATGAACAAATGTTTCCCCGAGTTAGAAAGTCAGTACCACTAAAATGTATCAAATGTTAAGCCTTTCTGTGGTATGTCATAGTTCAGCAAACCCTTTTTGTTCTTTACAGGTGTTAGTTTACCCTGTATAAACCTGATTATGGCTTGACATGTCATTATTATTTACATGTTTTGTGAAATACAACTGGAATAGTAGAAATGACATGAGAATACTTGAATTTGAGTTCAATTGGAGAGGTTGGTTTGCAGGCAAAATAATGTCAGTACAGTGTGTAAATTAGCTCTTATTTTCTGGGTTGAGATAAAAAGACCTGATTTTTAAAATAATAAACCAACAAAAGTAAATAAAAATGAAGCCAAAGCACTGTTGATAACCTTAACTTATGGATTTTTTTGTTGAACAAAAACTGAGTACTAGATATAGTTAGGCACTGAATCTAAACGTCAAGAAGGTAGTAGTCCCTAGCTTCAAGAGTTTTAGTCTGCTGTGAATAGTTATCTGTAGTTACAGAAGATGGTAAGGGTATACCCAGGAGAGCAGTGAAGAAGGGCTTTGGGGGGTTGGACATGGGGAAGTTCTGCAGAGGGTTGAAAGAATTCTCACGGAATGTCAAGTCCAATACCCTATTTAGCCTTCTGTGGCCAGTGCTTGGCCTCCAGTCCCAAGCTACTCAAAGACAGACCCATGGGCTGAAGCCAGTTACATTCTTGCCTGTCTGTAATGAAAATTTAAAAACTGATTTGGCATTTAAAACCTTTTATAGCAATTTGGTAGATTAATTTTATGTCTATTGGATGTAATAAAAATTTGGCTTTGTGTTTTGTGTGTCTGCTACTCCCTGCTCTCCTTTTTTAGTAGTTTTTATATCTTACAAAAAAGTACCTGTCCTTGATGGGGGTGGGAATCCTTCACAGGTGGATGGAAATGCTGAACCAGGGCAGGCTTGGTGCTGAATGGCATTAAATTCCAAGACTAGGTTTCCTGTCTCCACAGAGGAAACCAGTAACTCTTAGAGTCCAGATGATTCCTCCTTTGCCTAGAAATTCGTGTGTCTGACTCATCCTGAAGCCTGTGATTGGTAGTCATGAGGTTAATGAACTGCCCTGTCTGTTAACAGCCCTGGCTGATGTATGCACCTCAGAGGTGTTTGAGTTGATTAGGCATCAGAGCACCTAGAAGGAGAATAGTGAGCATTTGTAGTGTGTAATTCATGTGTAACTCTCAGAGCCATTGAGAAATGTGACAGACCTCAAGGAATAAGTACACTACCACGAGGGGATTGAAACACAAAGTCTGGGTTCCAGAGGGGTCTTCCATTACATTTGCTCTCAGAGACTCCAAGGTAGTAAGCTCAAGCAAAAAGGATTTCTCATCAGAATCGTCTTTGACAATGGGAATTTCAGACTGCATATTGTAAATGAAAGGTAGAGAAATCTGTGCAGAACACCTTCCTGTTTGCTGGGGTTGGTCCTAAGGGGATGCTGTGGGCATGGACAGTAGACACTGATTCAGGTGCCAGTATCCACATTTGCTGCACACTTGAATTCTCGAGAGTAGTGACTACCTGCCCTAGGTTTGATTAAAGATGTTTCCAGGCTTGTGGTAATGCAAAACAATTCATTTGGAAGGGGACTGGGAAACGTCTCGTATTGCTGATTACTCCACTAGGGCACGCTTCATTGTCCAACAAAACAGTCCATGCTTCTAAAATCTCTGGAGATAGACTATATGTATATTTTGAGATAGAGTCTTGCTGTGTCACCCAGGCTGGAGTGCAGTGGCGTGATCTTGGCTCATTGCAACCTCCGCCTCCCTGGCTTAAGTGATTCTCCTGCCTCAGCCGCCCAAGTAGCTGGGATTAAAGGAGTGCACCACCATGCCTGGCTAATTTTTGTATTTTTAGTAGAGACTGGGTTTCACCGTATTGGCTGGGCTGGTCTCAAACACCTGACTTTGTGATCTGCTTGCCTTGGTCTCCCAAAGTACTGGGATTATAGGCATGAGCCACGGCGCCCAGCCGTATTGTATATTTTATCACTCATTGCAGTGTTTAGCCTTGTGTCAGTAGTGTCTTCAAATAAGTAAAATCTTAGGCTGTGACTTAAATCCATTTTCACATAGCAGAGAGCAAAATAGAAACACAAGGAAACCTTTGGAGGCTTCATAACTGTTGGGAATGGGCTATTCTCAATTGTTTCAGAGTCAAGATACAAATTACTTCCCAAGGTTAGTTAGACCTATGGGTAAACTCTATGCTGTTGACCACTCTTGAGTACAAAGTCCTAGAGGGCAATTCCGTATACTACATTTTACAGGAGCTTGTAGGAACCAGTTTCTTATATGGGTTCCATGTTTCCTTGTGGCAAAGACTGAAGTGGGTGGCAAGGCTTAGGGGAAGTGTTTGTGACTTTTTCCTCCATGAGCCATGGGCCATGACAGGTGAAATGAGTGACCGAGGGGCTCAATCAATTGAGGGCTATTCAGCCAGCTTTGGAGGGTGTCTGGGGAAAACAGTGAGCCACAGGTATCTGTGGCTGTTTTTCCAAAGATGTTTTCAGTAGGTTTCATTATACATTTCCTTAAAGAGAGGACGGAGAAGGCATGCAGGAAGGGGAGCAGGTAGGCAATAAGGCAAATGGTTACATTATTGTGAGACTTTAGTGTCCAGAATTCTATATTTTACATAGATAAGGTTAGTGTTTGAAGGAAAAAGAGAAGAAAAGGAAGAATCAATGACGCAGGTGTCTCTGGGTAGGTGGAAGAATGACTGATCTTGTCTTTGTTTTGCACCTGGGAAGATACACTCGTAATGGACATTTTCAATCAGTGAGCAATCCAGTGGACTTTAGTTTTAGGAGCTAGATGTGGATTGCAGACCTGAAGTTAGAATTGACTCATCCTTGATTGTGGGCGGCCAGCAAAGCATTTGAAACCACCTTTGCAAAAATTATAACTGAGGAAATTATGACAGTGAAAGACATCAGACCTAACTGACTCCATCTTGCTTCTAACCTATAATTTGTCTTTGTTCATTCCTGGGCATGGGCCAAACTAACTTTGGGAAGGAATTCAGTTCATGGTTTGACTCTGAAACAAAATTGATAACAGACCTTTCCCAAAAAGACCCCCTTCTTGCCTGGGGACCTGTCTCCTTTGCAGGACTAACAAATAGCTAGAAGATTAGAAATTACAGTTTAGGGGTCATGCAGCCTCTGACTCCAACAGTCTGAACTTCCCCAAATTGCTCTTGGGATAACATCACTACTGTAAAACCTAGTAGCGGTGCTTGAGATAGTTTGTAGACTCTGCCCTCGTTGGATCAGCTGACACCACCCAGACCCATAATGTGGCTCAACAAGTTCTGCCATCCCACCCAGGAAGAGAAGACAGCAAGAAAACCTCACTTCGACCACCTGTGATTCCATTTCCAACCTGACCAATCACACTCCCCACTTCCTAAGCCCCTACCTCCCAAATTCTCTTTAAAAATTCTGATCCCTAAATGCTTGGGGAGACTGATTTGAGTAATAATAAAACTCCAATCTCCCGCGCAGCCAGCTGTGTATGAATTACTTTTTCTCCACTGCAACTCCCCTGTCTTGATAAACTGGCTCTGTCTATACAGTGGGCAAGGTGAACCCACTGGGTGGTTAAAAATTTACTTCAGAATGATCTGTGGGGGCACCTGGAAATGCCTGAGGCCTTCGACCTTTCCCTGAGGATCTGGCTGATGCATGATGCTGGTAATAGCTGTTGATTTGGAGGAGGCTGTTGCATGACCCAGACTGAGGCTTAACTTTCCCTTTGGCATAGGGAGTTTGGGGGTCCTAAAATTTTAAAGTTTTTCCTTTATGAGGGTTTAGGTGATCTGGTACTGAGGCAGGAAAGTAGGGTACGGAGGCAGGGAACAAATGGCCAATTCACACTTCAGCTATGACAGGAAACATCCTCTCTATAGGCCATCCTCTGTAAATGACTTTATAACTTTACTTCATCCTCTTCATTTTACATAGGGTGTACCCCAAGTAGAGTGTCACAAAAACTCTGTAACAGGGCTGGGCGTGGTGGCTCACGCCTGTAATCCCAGTACTTTGGGAGGCCGAGGCGGGTGGATCACGAGGTCAAGAGACCGAGACCATCCTGGTCAACATGGTGAAACCCTATCTCTACTAAAAATACAAAAAATTAGCTGGGCATGGTGGCGCGTGCCCACCCAGCTACT